TTGTCTTGCAAGGTTATGGTATCAGAAAAATCGTCAACAGCGACTATTACATAGCAGTATTGGAACGTTTGAAGGAAAAAATCGCGAAAAACATCCCCGTGTGAAGAAAAATAAAGTGGTGTTTCATCAAGACAGTTTACGTTGTCACAAATCAATGAAAACGATGGCAAAATTGTATGAATTGGTCATCGAATTGCTTCCGCATCCACCGTATTCTCCAGATTTGACCCCCAGCGATTTTTTCCGGTCTCAGACCTTGAGAGAATGCTCGCTGAAATGCGCGAATGAAAATGTAACCATCGAAACTGAAGAATAATTTGAAAAATCGTACTAAAAAAATGGTATCAGCCCAAAATCAGGATTTCCAAAATAAAAAATTTCAAAAGAGTAATGAATGATGTATCTTTCAAATATTAAATACCGATTATTTCTCAATAATTAGAGATGACTTTGTCAATAATACTTCCACGGTTATTTCGTGAAAACTTTAACTGAAACGTTCTTGATGTACATTATATTTCATTTCCGTGCATGTAGTCAGTCAACAGATGGAGAATTCAAAATACTGTGAGTCGTCTTCTTCGGGTTCAGAAAACTGGACAGGATTATTCTCAATTTTCCCCATCATCTTTTATCCCCTGAAGATTACACTCAAGTAAGCCAATGATTTTCCGAGAGATTCCGAAGACAATAGGCACTTCTCTCAAAGGGCTTCATTGTATTTAAAACAGTGAAATGACTTTCACATTTTGAACTCAGTAAAAATGTTCAATGAGGTATTTTGCGACTAATTGTGTAATAAATTGTCGGATGATGCTTCACAACCATAAAAGTTCCGAGAAAACAAAAACTGGAAAAAGAGAACAATCACCATTAATTCACTTTACGATCCGTGGTAAATCAATGGAATTAGTAGAGAACTATTTTACATAAACATATTTAGTCATGGGATAATTTTGTTGTGTTCGAATTTTTTACAAAGTGAGAAATTACCAATTACATAAAGGAAATTACACAACGACGGAAATTAAGCGCTCGACTAGGCACATTGAATTGAAAGCCATTTTTGTGGGCGAATTAGAGGTTTTCATTGACCTTTTTTTGAGATATTGAACGAAATGGTCAATTGCCTTAACCTCAAGTTATTTTGAAAAGTCGTGAAATTATATTGATATAAGTGTTCAGGGTGTGGAATGTACTCAAGATCACTAAGCCTAAGGATTAAGTGGGGAATGGGAAAAATACCAGCGTGGTCCAAACAGAACTGGATGGTATCTCAATCGCCACAAAAGAAATAACCAGAAAGCCCTAGTAGTCTTGAATTGACAACGTTTTACCTCACGGCTAGTACTAGAGAGCCACCAATATTTAGCCAAAGCCTAGGTAGATAATAACATTATCCTGAGGTGGGTTAAAGGGCACGACAGGAGAAAAGGCAATCGCATTGCCGACTCTTCAGCCAAGGAAGCGACTGGACTAAGAATTTTAGGACCCAGTGGTACCCACGTCCTGATGAATTCGACAATTGCCAAATATTTTCCAGCGACTTATTCCGAGGATATGAGAAGACTGTGGTCGAATTTACCAAAGAAGAAACTCACTCAGCTTCTTTTGCAGAGCTAGAGACAACATCATACCCAAAGGTTTTTTTGCTGAAATCGCCAATTCCAGGAGAGAGAGCCAAACGCATATCGGAACGAGCCAGCCGAGCACTGATAAGGTCTCAAATTAATTACCACCGTTGGAAGAGGTCAACTCTGATGCAGGATGCCATAGAACGATTTGAAAAAATAAGAAGAGAGACCTTGGAAGAGGATCATGGACCAATATTTCCTGGAGCATATCAACAACGCAAGTCCTTCCATCACTTTCACAATGGAGAAGGAAGTCCACGACGAATTGCCTTTCTTAGACGTGTGTTGGTGAAGAGGACCGACACTAAATGGAAAACATCTGTATATCGAAAACCCACTCACACAGGACAGTATCTGAACCAGAAATCCAACCACCATCAATCGACTAAGAAAGGAATCATCAAGACTCTACTAGACCGTGCTTTCGAGCTCTGTAAAACAAAGGAAGGTCTCGAAAAAGAAATAGGCATCATCAAAAATGACCTTCAACGGAATGGTTACTCAAGAGTGATGGTATAACAGGCTTTAGCTAGAAAATAGCAAGAGCTCCACAAGGAAGAGAAGCCGCCACAACCAGTACTTGTACTCCCCTACATCAGAGGATTATCGGAACGAGCATTATCGTGCATTAGGTGGAAGTTTTCACCACCAGCACCAGCAGATGGACGGACGATAGGTAGAAGAATGGTGTCGAGGTACTGTCGAGCTGTGAGGGAGCGATTTGGAAAAACGAGATCGGTTCTGCCGCCGATCATGATTCCGCCCCATAGCATTACTGTACCACCTCTGTATGTGTGGACTTCCTGGACGTGTCTCAAACGTTCATTATTTCCAGGTCGTCTCCACAGTCTTACTCGACGAGAATCTGGATGAAATCCAAATCTGGATTCGTCTGTAAACAAAACTGTAGCCCAATTGCATCCCAGTTTTGATGTTCTTGACACCACTCTAATCTTCTACCGCGATTGCCTCTCGACAAAGGTGGACATCTAAGTGGCCTTCTGTTGTGGAGATCTGCTTCATGCAGTCGATTTCTGACAGTATCACGACCAATGGTTACCTGGTGCGTCTGCTGCAACACGTTAACCAACTCAGGTGCTGTGATTGTCGGTTGTCTTCTTGCGGTTAAGACCAAAAATCGGTCTTGAACTGCAGTTGTAGCGCGTCCTCGCCCTGGATGTTGTTCGGCTGGACTGCCAGTTTCACGGAAACGCCGCCACAATCGACTGATAACACTTTGGGAGACCCCCAAACGAAGAGCTACATCATTTTGTCGCATGCCACCTTGAAGAAGCCCTACAGCTCTATTCATCTCAGCCAATGGTAAGTGATGGCGTTCCATGTTAAAGCACAATATTTTCAGTTTGATTGCTGAGCAAGAACTGCATAGAATGTACAAACTCGACACTTTCAGATTATTCATTTTAGCCGAAAACCTACAGTTTGTAAAAAACTTGATAAAAGATTAGTTACCGTTTTTGCAGGCTTTGTTCAACCTATATAAATCTACAGGGTGGTCGAGTGTACCAATTTAATCGAAATTAAAGACCTCATGCATTTATTTTTATGATATTCAGTATGTTATAAAAATATCCCTAGACTTTTCCGATGTGTGTATTTTTCAAATAAAGTTTGTGGAAATCAAATCGTGAGGTTTATGAAAAAACGAAAGCACTGACCAATCGGTTACGTCTGATTGGAAGAAAAAGCAATGAGCTCATAAGGCTGCAGAAGTTTTTGTAAATTTGGACGTAATGGACTGCTAAAAATCTTAGACTGTTAATGAAAATGATGGCTACAGAACACGCAAAAGTGTTTCCCAAAACTAAAGTATTTTTTTGGGTTCAGTGACCATTTAAATTATTTGTGATAAGTACGGTTGTTTTTTTTTTACTGACCATATGCTCAGCACGTTGTCATTGAAGACGATAATACGAAAAATATAAATAACTTTCGCTGTCGTTTCACTAAACTCCATCCCAAAAAAGCGAATATTGACTTATGAAGATTAGCTGAACACCTACCTGTAAATTTTTATTTTCAACTGTTTCCTTTTGCATGTTTCTCGCATTCGTCTTTCAATTCCTCATATCTCTATAGAATTATTTATTAACCTGCTTGTGTGGGTTCATGGCGCTGAATGTCGCATTCCTCCTTGTTCTTCCAACGCGCCATACGGAAAACCATTGTTGATTTATGTTTGTGCCGCAGGGAGACACACGAAATGTTCGTTTTCAGTCCTCAGTTTGAACGCCTTTATCTTGTTTTCCGACGACTCGTTGCGGATGAAGTGTTCAACTCTGGATACAGTGTTCAAAAAAGGTAAATATTCGTTTCGAGGGCACCCGACGATTTAGAAAAAATTTTTGAGTGTACTTACGTATTCTGATGCGTAGACTACGAATCCGAAAGAAAAAAACAGCGCTCTCCCTCATTTACAAAGTAACGGTCTGTCAAAGTTCAGAAAAGGGCTTTTCAGCCTTCTCTTTCACAAGATAAACTATTATAAAACAGAAGCATTCATTCACTAGGTCACGTTTACCTCTTATTCATCCTTCCGCGACACTTTTCACTTGAACAATCAACATTTTTCCAATAAGAATGTTAAAAAAAATGTGTGAAGCTGCTTTTTGGTTATAAAGGGTGATTTAAAAGTACTTTGACAAACTTCAGAAGGTGAATCCTCACAATATTCTATCATGAATTGTCCAAATAAATAAATGTCCGGAAACGCTTCGTTTCCAAGATACAGGATGTTGAATTTTTATTTTCGTTTCTTTCAAATAACTTTTGAAATACTGAACTTAATTAAACGAAACTTGGTAATAGGAGGTTTTTGAATTCGAACCCGATGTTCTTATTGCTTTTACTCGTAGGGAGCGCCACCTACACGTCTTTTTCTTTTTTAAAGATTCATAATTTTTTGGGCGTACTTCTAGCACATTGCTCCTAGACATGCTCCGATTCCTGCTCTCTCATGGTCACGGACCATGCAGAGAAGGGGATCCGAACTCCTGACGACTTTACAGGCTGTATCCAGTACCATTCTGTCATGTAACAGCGGTCGGCGGATTATCCACAACACGTGGAGGCTCTTGGAATAAGCGAGAAGGTTTCTCGCGGAACCTGAGGTTTTCCGCGATACTTCTCGCTCGCCTCACTAGTGACTTCTTAGCAGCCACTAGCATTCGTATCCTATCAAGGCAGTGCTGTTTGGTGGTCAGCAGCACGCCTTGGCTTAAATTGTGATGGAAACGTCGTAGATTGGCGGCTATTATTATTATTGTTATTATTAAATGAAAGTGAAACGTACAAAATACACATTTTATTTGACGAAGAAGACTATTAGTGACGTAATCTTTCCATTCAAAATATTCAACTGAAATTACAGACATTTAAAATGGTTCATTGACTCCTTTCACTGTTAATTCGTGTACCTGGAAAAAATAAATGAAGTAATGTCTAATTCATGAATAAATTTACAAAAAAATATTAACACCGACATTTTATGAAGTTCGTCAATGTTTTCCGACTGAAAGAGACGAAACAAAAATGCTATTTCAATGTAATCTCAGTTGCACATTTCTACGTGTTTCTCATAATCTGAACTTATCTCTCTATCTAAATGCATAATGGTTCTTTCCAATCTATATCGCTCTACTCACTTGAACATGGGGAGGTGTGGAAAGTACATAAACCGTTGCATCAGCAATATCTTCAGGGTTTAGTAAACTCTTCTGCAATATTTCCATAAAGTATTTTGTTGTGCGGAATTCTTCGGACAGGATTGGCGTGTCGACAGCTCCCGGACTGATGCTCTGAAAACAGACCATAATTGTGCATCGGAGGCTAAGAATTATGTGGAACATATCCAAAACAATCGACTGACATGAGTTCGAACAAAAGTCTTTTCAATAATGGCGATAGAACTGTAACACTAATATCATCTGTATCTGTATCTGTAGAGTAGGTAGGATGTGTTTAGGCCCACAGCACTTAAGCCACATGTGACCATTGTACATCCTTGCGAGGAGTTGTCCTACTAGGTCATCGTCCATCCTGCCCTTTCCAGAAAGTTGGAAAGCTGGCCTACACCTGCCTTTACATCGGCAGGTGTAGGCCAAGACTCGCCGAACACACATAGGACATGCCTGACAGTATCATCTTCCTCTTCACACATCCTGCATAGAGGTGTGTCCACTAGCCCCATATTGTGGAGGTGTTTCCTTAGTCGACAGTGGTCAGTCAGAAATCCTACTGTTAAGCGTAAATTTTTCCTGGTCATCGCCGGATATTTCTTCGGTGCCAGCTTTCCAAGGTCGCCCAGGGTGATCCTGGCAAGACTGCATCCTTTGAAATCATCCTTGAGAAATCAAGTTTGCGTTTGCCTATCACCTATCCTTTTGTGAAGGCGCATATGGATCCATATGAGCCAATGGCCTATAACGTAACAACGAACATGTTTGCCACGTAACGGAAATATTCAATGTTTGCCGTAGATATCCGAAAAAAAACTAATGATTCACCGCTACCTTAAACTGACAATGGCATTCCTGAATACTTGACCCAAATAATCGTCGTTCGTAACGTAACAGCCGGGTTATAACACTCTCAAAGTGGGTATGGATGGTATGCAACAGCATTGCGTTCTCACTAGGCGTAACGTAACATGCCCACTTTTACGTAAAAAGCATTGCGTTCTCACTAGGCGTAACGTAACATGCCCACTTTTACGTAACGGGTCATTTGTTACTGGAATAAATTTCTCAATGGGATATCTGTGATTATTCACTTTAAGTAGACAAATGAAAACTTACAAATACTCAGATAAAAATAGTGTGAGCTATGATTGCGCAGGAGATTTGAATTGCTACATCTGGTGGTAGATCTGCCAAAATTTTGTAGAATAATGTTGGTACAGTAGACTATCGTGTTCCATGTTACACGGACACATTTTACTACAATGTGTTTTCTAGCTCTTATTCGTATTCGAAGGTGTATTGAAAACCGATTCATAGTGGCCAGAATGGAATAATTCAATTTGTTGAAGATGTCAAATTCAATAATGAAAACAAACTTTTCAATTTTCTTCAACCTCAATTGGATTCGGATTTGTGTAGCTGTACCAGAATTCTTTTTTTTATTCAAAATATTATGGACCAACAAGAAAAGTGTCAAAATTGACATCCATATAATAATTTCCCAGCTCCATTTTATACATTCTCACAACATATCAGTAAAAATTTCCGACGCTTTATAAACCATAACGATCAAAATAAAGCAGAAAATTATCGTCAAACTCCATTTCAAAACCAACCTTACGATAGTTTTGAATCATTATGAATAGGTACGTTTCAAATCATAGTTGGGGTGACGTATTCGTTTCAAAGCCAGAATGATTGTATTTGAACCACAGACGAATACGTTTCGAATACATGAGCGCCAGGTATTTTCAGAGGAGTGCGAAATTCAATGATGCGGCGGCTAGACGATTGTATTGAAGCCAAAGGAGGCCATTTCCAACACTTAATTTAGTGCAATTCGTTAGTCTAGATGTTAATGTTATTTAATATTTGTTGTTATTGTTACATAATTAGTAACGAAAAATTGTAAAAATAATTATTTCCAAAAGAAACATTTAATTCCCCATATTATTCCTTGTGAGGTTCAGGGATATGCAATTAGGTCGACTTTTTTTTCTTAAAAAGTAAGCAAGATACGAAAAAAATTAAAAAAAAAAAGAGTTGTATTTCTAATTGCTCAATCCAAAAAAATTATGGTAATTGTACAAAAGTCAGAGGCATACATTTTTAAGTCAAAAATATTCGTTCAAATTCCGCTCGAGACGCCACTGGACTTGATAAATTGAATCACGTACGGGCTAAATTAGCTCCTTAATGTTATAATTACCATTGCCAAATAACAACATAATTGGGTAAAGGATATTTAAGATATTTACGAATAATTTTTTTCTATTTTTATTTTAACACCCTGTGTCTCGAGAACGAAGGATTTGCGGACCCATGTTCATATGAACGTTTCGTCTCAAAATTACCTAAAGAATCGTCTGTTGAATTTATGGTATATACTTGATTAACACCCTGTGATTTACGAGGTCTATTCGTTTATTCATTATATCCTATTTTGTCCCTTCGGAGTACCTTATTCTTTCAACAGATCTCGTATTTTTCATTCTGAATTAATGAAAAATCCAACATATTGAGTGAAAAGGTCCCATTTTCATGTTATACAACTTTTTGTGTATGTTTCACACGTATTTTTATAGTTTTAGAAACTGAAAAACCCGACCAAACTTTGGGATCACACGAATAATTATATAAATAAGTAACTTATGAAGGATAGGTTTCCACATCATTTCTTCAATGATAGAGAAATAGAAAGCCAAAAACACTAATGTGAACTAAATATTTTCCTTTTTCAACCCATTTTTTTCCAATATCAACCTACCGTAATTTTGATTTTGGAATTCCTCAAATTCTGTTCCAGCCTCAACGATTCGGTTAAGGAAGTAATACTAAATTTCGAAGCCGTATAAAGTGGACTGGCAGGACTCACTACTTTGTGTCCCAAAACACTGTTGACATTTATGATATGCCCATCAATGTCGTGCTCTTTCATTATCTTTATGGCCTCTCTCGTACTGATACATACGGCGAGCACATTCGTTTCCAGTATTTTCTTCCATATCTGAAGGTTTCCTTCTTCTAAAGAGTGTGCCAAATTAATTCCAGCACTATTGACTAGTACATGGACCGGTCCCACGTTATCGGTTGTCCATTTGAATGCGTTGATTAGCTCTTCTTCCTTCGTTATGTCCACTTGAAAGCCAAATAGTTGAGCGTTTTTGTTGCGGAGTGTTTTGGCGATGTTCTCGATTCTTTCCTTTCTTCTAGCTACACCCACAACCTGAAACATATTTTTTTCAAGAATAAAATCACAAGCACTACAGGAAAACCCTTAAGTCGCTCTGAGAGCGGTGCCCCTGTGGAACAGATTAATTTCATTTGGGAAAACTTTCTGATGAAATCTATTCTACATAAACTCAGTTCTCCAAATGGAATAGTTCTAAAACAGTGAAGTTCGAGATGTACTGAGTTGAACCTGAAACGATGAGCAGCCACAGTTCATCGCGAATTTCTGATATGTACGCTCTTGGTGGAATCAAATATGCCAAGTCACTTGAACACCCTCCGGAAAAGTATCTATAGAAGAGAGGCAAATCTCCAACCTTCTTCGATGTTCCAAACTATCAAGGTTGCAAGTGATGTTAGCATCTCCAATCAGGCGGATGGATCTTTTCTGTATAGAATCCAGCAGCTTCAGGTTTCAAGCGACATGTTTATGCCAAGGCATATTGCTGTCCATTTTAACCCTCAACAAACTTATCGAAGCAGAAAGCGTAGTTGTCTGTTCTGACATTATTATACCGATTCGGAGACACTTATACACCCGCTGCCAATGAAGATATACATCCTCAGTGGATGTCATGGGATCCAAATGGAATGACGAGATAAGTGTGCTGTCGTCAGCAAAGCAATATATTGGATTCTTGTTTTTTTTCCAAGAAGCCGTTGATATATAATAAAGAGGTGATATACAATGAAAAATAGAGACATCTGAGGTGTCTGGGTTTATCATCGATTTAATTGATGGTCATCCGTTTTTCAAAAATGTTTTTTGGCATATTCTGTTATTAATCATGAGAAAAAAAACTCAATTTGTCTTGGACCCATTTGCAGAAGGAACTTTTCTTTGGGAAAGAAAGTTTTTGGCTTTCTACTACTCAATTTTGATACAAAAAAAGATTAGGGAATCTTCCAAAGAAAGGAAGGAAGTAATCACATGGATGTGAAGATCATGCAAAGAAGTAACTTTCAGACAGAAACTGAAAGAAAGTCCTCCTGACTGATGACAGTGTTCCATGTAAGTGCAATTTGAATTTCACTAGTTCGGACTTCCATTGTCTACTATATAAAATGATTTGAAATCCCTGAAACAACTAAAAAAGAAGAACTGAAAATGAATAGCTGAAAATAACAATTATATTAACCAAAATAAACCTGAAATGAAATAATAGTGGAATAAAATACAAGTAAAAATAGAACAATTGAATAAATAAAAATAAAGAAATGAAAAAAGAAAATAAAAATAAAAAGTGGAGAGATTCCAAGTCACGTTAGTTCACGACGTTTCGATTGTTAGTATCTACAATCGTCTTCGGGTGATGACTGGACTGATTCCTCCGAGAGATGACTATTTATAGGTCGTTTGAGTACTTTCACTTATCCCCGCTTTCCATTTTCCGCTTCACTGCTTCCGTGGGAGATGACCGTTTTGGCGGGAGTTGGCCATTTTCCGCTTGATGATGGGTTTCCATATGTTGCGTATTTCTACGCTGGCTTGGCTGAATACGTTGTTGGACAACATGTATGCGGCTTCCTTGAATTTTCTCCTGAACCAATGTTCCTCTCTGTGAAAGATCTCAGCTTGGGACCACTCGATGTTGTGTTGATGGGTCTAAACATGGTCTGCTATTCCTGATTTGCTGGTTTCCCCTCGCTGTGTGTGTTTCTTGTGCTCGGCGATGCAAACATTCAATGGCCTCTTAGTTTCACCAATATAGGATTTTTCGCACTCACAGAGTATCCGGTAAATGCAATTCTTGGAATCGCAGTCCGCGTTTGGTGGCCTGATTTTCGTGAGGCTGCTACGGATAGTGATACCGGATCTGAAGCAGGTTCTGATGTTGTACTTGGAACCAATTCTTCTTATCCTCTCCGATAATCCTCTGATGTAGGGAAGTGCAAGCACTGGTTGTGACGGCTTCTCTTCTTTGCGAGGCTCCTGCTGTCTTCTAGCCAAAGTCGTTTCTACCATCGCTTTAGAGTAGCCATTTCGTTGAAGATCATTTTTGATGATATCTAGTTCCTTCTCGAGACCTTCCTTCGTATTACAGAGCCCAAAATCACGGTCTAATAGAGTCTTGATGATTCCAAAAGCACATTGTCAATCACCTTCAAACATAAGTGCAATTTGTTACCATTCATTAAAAGTAGAACTCATGTGAATAATATCTGATTTTATTCCACAACGAATGTTTGAAATACAAACTGAGTAGAGAAAAGTATCTTCTGTATAATTCAGTGTTCATATAGAAGTATTTGTATGAGGTTCTTGCAATTATTTTTCTGAATATTTCTATTTATTTTTTTGTGTGTTTAGATTAAGTTTATTTCAGTTGCCTAAAATGTACCTATTGAGAACTGAATCACAGAACTGAATCGATGGATACAAATTCAATGACTTTTGCAACAGAATTATCAAAGGAAAAACTCAAGTAGACTCTTCTGAAGCCTTTGAAAAGATTTACCATGACACATCATCGTTAAAGTTAAACCAATAGAAACTCAGTAATCAGTCAGTGAGAATTATATATTATAGTTGACGTATTGTCTTCAATAGTTCAGCATATTATCTGCATAGAGAATTCTCTGAAATGTTTTCATCGAGATCACTGGTAGCTCAAAGTTTTAATCTGGTCCATTGCTGTTTTTAATTTCTATTGATCTCCCCAAAAGAGTACCATCTGACTCTAATATGCAGAAGAAACTAAAATATTTAGAAAAATCAGACATTACTGACTACTCAGGATTTTCAAATAATATAGATTCAATAGCCAATTGGCCCCTAGATAATAAACCACCATTTGATTATTTCATTTCTCGTCTTAAGTTGGAACGAACATCAAAAATATCACTCCATCTTACTAATAAGACTAATATGACAGTTTTTCTTCCTTAATCAGAGGAATCGGGCAAATTTCGAATATGTAGTTGGTTAGAAGAATGAAATACTCTGAAAGAATTCCGATTTTCAATTATGGAAAATCATTGACTTCAGGTCGATGATGGTCACTATCTTGCACTGACGAGTGGCTAAGGAGCCCGAAACCAGTCTGCATGTGTGCCCGTTCCAAAATTGAAGGTCGACTCTTTCAGTTGTATTGCCGATTGCATATGCAGGAAATTTTCTGTGAAGAATCCTGTACTGGCGCCTGTCGGATATAATCCAACGCTGTTCATGGTATTAGCCAGTGGAGTAGTTGTTTTTTGATAGGCGTCAGTCCATTCAACCTACTGTGTAGGTATGTCCAAGACGGGCTTGAACATTTAAAGTTCATTTCTTTAGATTTGTTTACTGTCTGTTTTCAAACATAGCCCACGGACTAATAAGAAAAAAAAAACGATTCTTTTCTTGATCGGATCGTCATGTGGGATAAAAACTGGACCCTTTACGGCAACGGGAGATGTTCAGGACAGTGGTTGGATATTTTGAAATGAGAATTAGGTTCGTAGTCAATCTTGAAGGTTTAGATGCAAATTAAAAGTCGGCTTTTTTAATGAAGCATTCAAAAAGGAAACGGTAAAGAACAAAAATAACTATTACTCTTGCTCAATTTGAAGGACTTCCCAAGACTACATATACGATGAAAATATTAAAAATCACAAAAATCAGCGTTTTTTGTCAGGACCACCATTGACATATGAGTTTGCGAATTTTTTTCTGCAAAAAAATTCATAAGATAAAGAAGAAATGGGGAACATTTTCAAACAGGCAATTTTTTTCTGTATCCAAGAAATCGAGTCTGTAAACACAAACGAATTCAAGGAAATGCTGGGATAGAAAATGAAAAATCTCGAAAGTGTAGTCAGATTTCAGGATTCAATTTTGTGGTTACTCACTGTCATTCCCTCCTCGACGAGTCGTTTGGTAATGGCGGCTCCAATGCCTGAGCTAGCGCCTGTGACAACTGCCACTTTTCCAAACCATCTTGCGAAAGATGCGACCATTTTCAAGATGTCCCTGGCACCTGTGAACTTATACGGAACAAAACACAAACACTGATCAAAATCAGCTGTATCAGCTAGTGAAGCAGATTTTAGAAATGTTTTTCTATTCATAGGACATGAAAGTCAGTAGCGGCACACTGTTCGAAAGGGAGAAATTGGAGTTATTGGAGGCCCAACAATTCAGATATTCCAGTTATGACTGAGACAAAATTGTTCGGTGGTTAATTACTCAATCAAACCTCGGAATCCTAGATATATTACTAGAGTTGAATGTATAGAGAATTTCTGGTTTTTGTCGTAGAAAATTGAAATGATTAACTATTGTAGTAACGTCACGAAATTATATTTCTGTTTAATGAATTTCTAATCAACTGAACGTGCTTTCACAAAAAAGGGGTGATTATAATTACTAACCTTATCAAATTTCAATCACTAATAACTATAATTTTAAAACAAACTCTATTTTAGTGACCTTCCTTTCAATATAAATAAAATGTTCTGAAAATACATCTTTACATGTGAATCGATAAAAATATCTCTAACAGCTCTAAAATCACTTGGCTCTTGCAGAGTAACGTCTAATTTATTAACTGACTGCTATTCAAAAATCTCCTCAAAATTTCTCATAAATGGAGCCCCGGCCATGTTCAGAGCTGGTGACTGGTGACATCTAAACTCCAGCATGGATGAAGTTTGCTTGAAGGTGATTGACAATGTTTCATGATGAATTTCACTAGTTCGGACTGCCATTGTCTACTATATAAAATGATTTGAAATCCCTGAAACAACTAAAAAAGAAGAATTAAAAATGAATAGCTGAAAATAACTATTATATTAGGCAAAATAAACCTGAAATGAAATAATAGTGAAATAAAATACAAGTAAAAATAGAACAACTGAATGAATAAAAAATAAAGGAATAAAAAAAGAAAATAAAAATAAAAAGTGGAGAGATTCCAAGTCACGTTAGTTCACGACGTTTCGATTGTTAGTATCTACAATCGTCTTCGGGTGATGACTGGACTGATTCCTCCGAGAGAGGACTATTTATAGGTCGTTCGAGTACTTTCACTTATCCCCGCTTTCCATTTTCCGCTTCACTGGTTCCGTGGGAGATGACTATTTGGCGGGAGTTGTCCATTTTCCGCTTGTTGATGGGTTTCCATATGTTGCCTATTTCTACGCTGGCTTGGCTGAATACGTTGTTGGACAACATGTAAGCGGATTTCTTGAATTTTCTCCTAAACCAATGTTCCTCTCTGTTCAAGATCTCAGCTTGGGACCACTCGATGTTATGTTGTTGGGTCCAAACAACGTCTCGTTCAGCCAGGGGATATTCCCGTCTTTCCTAAAAGCATCAGTTGTCATTCCTTTGCATAAAGGGGGTGACAGGGACGATCCGTCCAATTTGAGGCCTATATCGCTCATTCCGGCCCTAGGGAAATTGATTGAGAAATTAGTCAAATCAAGACTGAACAAAAACCTGATCTTGAACGAAATCATAAATTCCAATCAGTTCGGATTTCAAGAAGGAAAAAGCACCACCGATGCGGTATTTTCATTTTTGCAGCAGACATACAGCAATTTAAATTCAGGGGAAGCTACGGCAGCGGTGTTCTGTGATTTGTCGAAAGCCTTTGACTGTGTAAATCATGGAATACTGCTAAAAAAGCTTCACCACTATGGGATAAGAGACAAGGGTTTGTCGTGGTTCCAGTCGTACCTTATCGATCGACAACAATATGTGAAAACCAGCTCTGTTTCTAGTATACAGGGAGTGAAAACAGGAGTACCCCAAGGCTCAGTCTTGGGGCCATTACTATTCCTGATATACATAAATGACTTGACCAGCCTTAACATAGCTGGCTCTTTCACGCTTTTCGCAGATGACACCACAGTATTATGGCACAACAAAAACGAGAGAGATCTTCATAACTCTATTTCTAGTGATCTCGAGCAAATAAAAAATTGGTTTGGAGCAAATCTTCTGTCTTTGAATTTGAAAAAAACAAACATCCTGACTAAGTGCTCTCTACCGGAATTGAGGCTGGGAAACGATGCTATTGTCAACAAAAACTACACAAAATTCTTAGGCATAAACATCGATCAGGAGCTAAGATTTGAGGAACATGTAAGAGCACTAAAAAACAAACTCTCCTCTGGTTGCTATGCTATCTCAAATGAGCTAGCTTACCACGCAGCTAAAAATGCTTATTATTCCATGATTGACTCTCATTTGAGGTATGGAATATCATTCTGGGGTGTATGCTGCAAACAGCTTATGAACTCGGTGTTTGTATTGCAAAAACGAGCAATCAGAAATATGTGCGGTAAGAAATGGAATGAACCGTGCAGACCCCTTTTCATAAAAAACGAAATTTTAACTGTATTTTCCTTATTAATTCTAGAAACGTCTTATCTGGTACATAAAAATAAAAGTTCCTTCCTAAATGAAAAAAGTCACTGTACTAGACAAGCATATCATCTCAAGTTGCCCATTCCAACATCCACCCTAGTTAAAGATTCTATTACGTACACGGGAATAAAAATATATAATAAGCTGCCAGCTACCCTGACTAATAGTGTGAATCAAGCAAAATTCAGGAGGGACTTGAAGGTTATCCTAGCAAATTTTTTGTAAGTTTCTTCAGTCATCCGCAAATAGTTGCGATAATCCGAAGGATCTGAACATAGTTCTTTCAATAATTTTGTATGAGTTTACTCATTTCTCTTTTTAAACCAGTTTTTACACCACGTCCTGCGTTTTCCTCTTTTTTTGTTGTTTAAAACCACTAACAAACCCACGAAAGCAATCACGTCATCTTGTAGGCTCGCCATTTCTGGTTTGTCCACCATTCACTGATCTGGTTTACCGTAGCGTGTGTGAGCTCCTGCCTGCACAGGTATACCAGAGACGGCACCTGTGCTGGTATACCTCTCCGGTATACCGTAACGTGTATGGCCGGCCTAACTGAATTTATTATTCCAGGCTTCTGGAGCCTATACTACTGAAATATTTAGTACCTACCTATCCCGCCGAAATACTCAACTTTTTGTCAGATTTGAAACTTAGCTGATGATTTTGTTGTTCAGGTTGTAGTTATGATCTAACTCAACCTAACGAACAGAAAAATAAACTTCTATTTGCAATTCTTAGATAACGTAATCCGTCATAATTTCATCTCATGGAAACAGGTTCATTTGAAACTAAGCAAAATACACATGTTTGAAAAACGATTAACATACTCAAGTAAGAATAAAATTCGATGAGATGCACGTCACAGGTATTGAGGGACTTCTTAAGTTCACGAGAGAAATAAATGAGTGTTTTCGTTAATATATCACAAAAAACTCTGCATACCTGTAAGGTTAACAGAATTGATGGAGTTAACACAATTAGAAAATAATGACCTAACCCGAATGTCAAGATTCTTTTCAACTAGGAGTATCCGTAATATTTCAACCGTATTTATTTTATGCTTTGATATACGAGCATGTGCACAATGATATAGTTTCAGTAAAGAACCCAGCATCATTAATCAAGGCCACGAAGACTTGTCCATCACTATATCAACCGTCAGGAAATACGCTTGGGAGAGGTAAGTAGTCAACGGTATTTTCTTCTTGTCTCTCACGAATTCGTGCACAATATGTTTATGACCATCGTTTCGACCCAATATCGAGTTTTTGGAATCTTTTATGTTACAATACGTACAACTTTATTCACTTTTATAAATTCAAAAAAGTAAATCATGGAATACTGCTCCGCAAACTTGAAGTTTATGGGTTTCGAGGCACGGTACTGTCCTGGCTCAGGTCGTACTTATCGGAGCGTGGCCAAATTGTATCATTTAATGGTATTAAGTCTGGAAAGCAAGTAATTGAGAACGAAGTTCCTCAAGGATCAGTTTTGGGCCCGACTCATTTTTATTAACGACCTCACCAACTTAGACATCAATGGTGAACTTACTATTTTTGCAGATGATACATCGATTCTGTGGCACAACAAAAGCTCTTCAGGGCTTAACTACCACATGAGCATAGTTATAGAAAAAGTTAAGAATTGGTGTGATTCCAATCTTCTAGCTTTCAATATAAGCAAAACAAATATCATAACATTCAAGGGCGACTTAGATGATGTTTATTTGGACAAGGAACAAATCTCCATTTCTACGGATAATAAATTTCTGGGGCTTCTGATTGATAATAAATTGAAGTTTGGTAACCATATTACAAAACTATGCAATTGATTAGCTTCAGGTTGCTTTGCGGTTCGTGTCGTTGCTAATGAGTTGAATTTGGGTATAGCGAAGAACGTATACTACGCACTAACAGAATCTCATCTTCATTATGGAATCTGCTTCTGGGGCGCTTGTGCTCAGTATTTATTTCAAAGAGTATTCTCTCTCCAAAAAAGGGCAATTAGATACCTATGTAGTTCTGATTACCGTGAATCCTGTCGTCCCTTGTTTATGCAACATGGAATTCTGACATTGGTTTGTATCTACATTTTGGAAATGACTTGCCTCATGCACAAGAAATACCAAGCTATAATTACTTCTGAGTCAACCTATAACACTCGCTCCTCTCACTTGATATCGCTTCCAATTCCCTCCTCAACCTTAACTCGCAGCTCTCTAATTTTTGAGGGCAAGAAAATTTTCAATCACCTTCCCCTAGCCTTGCGTGTCATCAAAAGCGAAGTCAAGTTCAGAAAATCTGTAAAAACGCTCATAGTTGGGAGGGCCTACTATATCCTGGAAGAATAATTTCAGGATTCTTTTTGCTGAGATATCTATCCTTGGCGGCGGTCATATAACGTATGCCTAAATGTTTATGAATCTAAAGCAAATGGAACTTCAAACGTTCAAGCCAGTCTCTATATACCTACACAGTAGGTTTAATGGACTGACGCCTATCAGAAAACAACTACTCCCCTGGCTAATACCACGAAGGGCGTTGGATTATATCAGACAGGCGTCAGTGCAGGAATCAGGAACTTCAAACGTTCAAGCCAGTCTCTATATACCTACACAGTAGGTTTAATGGACTGACGCCTATCAGAAAACAAC